CGATTTCACATGAAAAGAGCGTAACAAGTGACCCCATTTTTTTAAGGTCCATACTCATTGCATTTTTTGACACCAAGGGAATAGTGCACAAAGAGTTCGTGCCACCCAGACAGACAGTTAATGCAGATTTTTACAAAGAAGTACTTCAGAGGTTAAGGAATCAAATAGCGCTCGTCCACCCCTAGCTCACAAACAATTGAATTCTACACCATGATAATGCACCGGTTCACACATCCTTCAAAGTGGTTCAGTTCTTGGCAAAATACAATGTCACAACGCTGCCCTAAACACCGTACAGTTCCAATCTATCACCGCCGGACTTTTTTCTATTCCCTCGGTTAAAATCCGGCTTAAAAAGTCATCGTTTTGACGGAGAACGTACAGAAAAACGTAACGTGAGTTCGAAACAGCATTCCAGTTGAAGACTTCCAGGAGGGCATCAATGGGTGGCAGAGTCGTTGGCAACAGTGCATTAATGCTGGAGGAGGCTATTTTGAAGAATATTATGTGTCTGTAAACTTATTTTCAAATGAATAGATTTTATGGAATCAGTCTCATTACTTTCTGGATAGATCCTGTACGTATAGTAATTAATAAAAAGGTACGTAAAGCAATTAATAGAATTTAAAACTTATGTACTTAACTATTAAAAGTTGTAAGGATTATGTTAAATTTATTAACAGTTAAATTTTAAGTTCCTTTCCTGTCAAATTCTTAACTTTAACTTACTACTTCCGGCTAGAACGTAGTTTTGGAATTTGCTGAATATTTAATGAGGAGGAGCGGTATTTAAACTACGAAGTTACGTAGGTAGGTAGGTAGGTTACGGAGGACTGGAACGCCTGGTGTCTAACAGAGGTAAACAGGCATGTGTTCCAAGCCCTCCTCTAACTACGGCAAAAGCTTCCTGGAACCACACGAGGCTGCACCAGGAGATTATTGAGGTTGTCAAAGGGAAATACATGGCCTTACAAGGGCATTAGTAGGATTGTATTACAGATTGAAGAGGCAAGCTGTGGTGTTACAGATAGTACGTAGTTAAACTAAAAATACTTGTACAATAAGACGTACGCATAAAAAGACATTAAAACATGCATAGGCAAACAATTACACAAAACACAATGCGTAAAATGCATAAGCAGAGAGCACATAAAACAGGTACATACACATAGTCACTTAAGGCACAAAAAGACAAATGGAGTATATGAAGTCACATGAAAGCTGGAGCACAATGTTAGTGTAGGGCAGTTCTGTTGTATATAAATACAGGTACATCTTGAATGATGAATGATGAATTCATGGAATACTCATGTGTGCAGAAGAGTGCGGTTAGATTGCTGAGGCGTTGATTATTGTAGCGTCGCTAAGAACATAGATAAAAACACTGATAAAAGGCACGAGGATGTTGTAGCACTAATTATTGGGCAGTGCCCCAGCAATGTGTGCACCGTGAGGCACACAAGCGTTCACTAACACTGCATAAGAAGATGCTTGTTCAATTGCTGTTGAAGGGATTACACACGTATCATTATGGAGGCATAACACATCTCACTAAGGAGATGCCACATATTTGCGAATTGTTAGTATTGCCACTTTAGATTGTGGGCAGGGGAACTTAAACACACAGTTGTGGTGAAGCCCAGATAATGTAAAATTCACTGTACTAGTCTTAGAGCTTATCATCAGTACACCAGAGCGTCATTTTAGCACGGTAGGCAAAGGTCTGTGCCCAATGCCGCGATGGTATTCATGATGCTGGAGATTGAATTAAACGCTCCTTTATGCGTTATAAGGAACCGGTGATAGGCGTTCCTATTATTTGTAGGTAGCGGAAGATGGTGTGCAGCCGTCAAAGGACATTCAAATACGTAATGGTCTGGTGACCCTTCTGATCCACAGACACAGACGAAGTTACGTACTGAGTCAGAGAGAATCAGAGTTTCTGATTTACGCGCGTCTGCCTTTTTGGCCACTCTTTCTCTCAAAGCTGTTATTACGCTCGGCCGTACTCAGGCCCTTGCTAAGCTTCGTAGTCAAATAAGTTAAGGGGCCAACTCTAATTGAACCTTGATAGCTTCGGCTATACTTCTTTAGTTAATCTTAGTTTTAGTTTAATTCTTAGTCCTTTTTAGTTCAAGTCCAAGTGCGGGCTTTGCTTGTACACTCCCAGGCGGAGTTTTGTTAAATTTTATTGGAATAATAAAGGGTTAGTTACCCTTCTATCTTGTTGTTTCTTGTCACCGAACGCAAGCGATTATTCGCTTATCAGTTCTTAGATTCCTTATTTCCAACATTAACTTAGAATTCCAAAGTGAGGTACTCTACAAAGTTATTTTTTCTAATCTTTCTTATATTATACTTTTCATGAAAAATTACTACTACAATTTATAATAGAGATGAATATTAATATTGTCTTCTAATAGTTAACTACATAAATTTAAAATTCTGTTAACTATTCCACGTAGCTTTAATTTCTACACATTTTCAGATTTTGAATGCTTAAATTCCCATCTAGCTTTTTCAGTAGACATTTATTAATTTATTCAAAAATATGAATCACAGAGACAGAACTATTCCGTATTTCGTCTTACGCTCCCATTATACGAACCTGCATTTTAAGCTTTTATAGTCTAAAAATACGAGGCGTATTCGGAAACTAAGTACCGTTTTGGGAAAAAAAAATAGTAAAACAATTTTTTTGAATCCAATTTTATTTTTACATGAAAATACATGTCTTAAACTATTTTTCAACATAGTTTCCGCCAATGATCAAACACTTGTCATAGCGGGTGATCAGTTTTTGTATACCATCGTCAAAGAAACTTCCCGCCAGTTTCGATAACCCCGACTCCACAACATTTTTCGTGTCATCGTCAGATCCAAAGCGCTTGCCACCAAGCTCGCGCTTCATGTGCAGGAACAAGTGATAGTCGGACGGCGCCAAGTCCGGGTTGTACTGCGGGTGATCGAACTGCTCCCAATGAAACTGTCGAATTAACGATTGAGTGACACCACAGCAGTATGGGGCCCGAGCATTGTCATGGAGCAACACAATTCCTTTACTGAGCATTCCTCTTCGTTTGTTTTGAATGGCACGCCTTAGTTTTGTTAAAGTCTCACAATATCGTGCCGCATTAATGGTTTCACCTCTGGGAAGAAATTCAGTAAGCAAAACGCCTTTCCTATCCAAGAAGACAGTGCACATGATTTTTTGTGATGACATTGTCACTTTGAACTTTTGTTTTTTCGGAGAATGAGTGTGTCTCCACTCCATCGATTGTTGTTTCGATTCTGGTGTGAAATGACACACCCAAGTTTCATCATCTGTCACAATTTAGCTTAAAAAGTTTTCTCCCTCATCACTGTACCGCGTGAGAAATGTCAGGGCACTACCAAGTCGCTTTATTTTGTGAACATCGGTGAGCATTTTTGGAACCCATCAGGAACACAGTTTGCTATAATTCAAGCGGTCAGACACAATTTCGAACAAAACAGTATGTGAAATTTGTGGAAATGCCTCTGAAAGAGTTTTCATTGTGAAGCGTCTGTTCTCATGAATTGCTTCATCAACTTTCCTTACCAAATCATCGGTGACAACAGAAGGCCGACCACTCCGAGCCTCGGCGTGGACATTTGTTCGACCTGCATTAAACATTCTTACCCTCTTTCTCACCATTCCATCACTTATCGCGTATTCACCGTAAACTTCTGTCACTTGACGATAAATTTCGACCGGTTTAACATTCCTCGAGCTCAAAAATTTAATCACGGCACGAATCTCACAGTCAGCGGGAGAACTAATTGTCTTAAACATTTTGAATGTGCACAGCAAACTGAAAACACAACATAGAGCAACCAAAATGGCGACAATTGAAAGTCAGTGAACAAGAAAGACTAGTGCGCATGCGAGGGACGCCTACCACAGCGCTGCGATGGCGCTAGAATGAAACGGTACTTAGTTTTCGAATACGCTACGTATATGTTTGTGAAGATATCCTCAGATGATGATTTTGTAGATGCTTTTTTTTTCCGTATGACAACGTTTTAAAACCGAGATATTTCTCCTTGCTTTCATTTCTCCAGCGATCTTTTTCTGTTTTATAAGACATTGTTTTTCTCTTGTGTTGCCTTCTTCGCGACGCTTTCGTCTGTAATAATTTTACCGCGATGTTTTCGGCGTACACCATCTGTGGTCCAGCAAGTGCTTAATTTCCATAAAGCAAAGTTAAGATCTCAAAACTTCCTATGTATTAGGAACGATTCTCTGATACAGTCAGTGGAGTCCTTTGTGCTGGAACCAAAGGAAATGAAAGGAGGAACTGTTTCCGTTAGAAGATATTATTTTAGCTTTGTCAGAAGGAAGGTTTCTAGGGATAGTCCATTTTGGGGCTATTATTATTATTATTATTATTATTATTATTATTATTGTTATTGTTATTACTATTATTATGTTTAAAATAGACGAATTTGATGAAGTTTGGTTTTTTGATATTTTGGTCAACCATCGGTTCTTAAAAGTATGGCCAAGAATCTGCATTGCTTGTGGAGACATTAGGATTTTTTTAGAAGCAAGAAATATGAAAAATTAACAACGCTCTCTCCAAATCGAACCGCGGACTTCTGGAATACCGGCCCAGTGTGCAAACCACTACACCACGAAGACCGCTGACATCTGGAATACTGGCCCAGTGCGCAAACCACTACACCACGAAGGCACGCTAGGAAAGCGGGAGAAATACTTTATATGCTTAAGAAAATTTGATACTGAGATAGTGCCAATATTTTACTTTATGTCCTAAATTGAGTTTACTAATATTTTGAGTAACAAATGGTCTTCAGAAATGAATTAAATTTATGAACCAAGATTTCACTGTAAAATATTTTGAAAAGAAGTAAGTTTTTTATATAGTTACCAAAAGAAGTAAGTTTTTTATATAGTTAACAAAAGAAGTAAGTTTTTTATATAGTTACCAAAAGAAGTAAGGTTTTTATATAGTTACCAAAAGATCTGCTGACAGTAACCCCGAAAGCTTTAACTGTATCATTGGAGAAGGCGTATCTTCTTCTGTCACTATTTCTATCGATTCCAATATTCTCTCACAATTATTGTTGTAAACATTCTCATCTCTAGGAGGAAAAAAACACACACATATATATAAACCTACCATTCGTTCTAAAAAGTTGATTAAAAATAAATGATAAAAGAACGAAAAGAAATTCAAGACTTTTCTGTATACATATATCGGGTGACCCAAAAGTCGCACACAACGAATTTTCAAAAATTGTAGAGATTCCAGAATAGATATTAGGGCAACAGATGACATTTCTGTATTGTTACCAGTAATATATCAATGAAATTTTAGTTTGCAATTCATTTTATTAGCTTTGAAAACCGTTTGTTTGGAAAAAAATGGTGATTAATTTCCCGAAACGGAACGAATTTTTATGATTGAGCTTTAGTTTGTGAAGTATAAATTTCGTTTGCAATATCAACTTTCTCATCTTCTTTGTTGGTGATTGTAAAATTTTATTCTTGTCTTTATTTGGACCGAAATCAGAACAGACGGACGGCCATATTTTTTCCTGTTACGAACGTTTCTAGTTTCTCGAAATAAAGTTGAAAAGTGAAAATTCATAGTCTTGTGTTCGCAAACATTTGGAAAGTTCGATTTAGAACGCTTTACCAAATTTTCCATAGAGAAGCGTTGAGTTAATACTCAGTCATAAAAATTTGTCTGTTTGGGAAAAATCCCGTCTACATCTTTTACCAAGCAAATGGTTTTTAAGCTAAAAACATAAACTGCAAGTGAAACTTCAAGTGCTGCATTACTTGTAACAGAGTAGGAAAATCCTTTGCTCAACAATATTCAATTTGACTAACAATACAATAACAATATTCATTTTGGAATTTCCAAAATTTTTGAAATTTTGATATACTCGGTTGTTGGATTACTTTGTAGATTGCTTCACCTTACACTTCCGAAAAAGTGCATAACCATGGTTTTTCTGATTTGTTACGTAAATACTAACTTGTTTTTACAAAACTTCCTCCTGGACAGCATTCATCCTAATGTAGATAGCCATCACCTTTTTTGCCATAGTTAGCCTGGTCGCCAAACCTTCTCGATCGCGTGCCTCTAGAGTAAAAATTATAAGATAATTTCTCCCTCCTTCCAGCATGCCTTCGTGGTGTACCGGTAACACACTCGGCGCGTATTCGAGATGTCCAGGTTCGAGTCCCGGCAAGGCCATTGCACATTTGTCTCTTCGCCTGCTTCAAAAATACCTAATGTCTCTACAAAATAATTATAAGTTTTACTCCATATAATATAAAATGATACATATATGCGTTTGATATTTTTGTTTTCTGCCGCAATCAGCAAAAGCTTTATTACGCTATTTCCGGCACCTCAGGGAATCCCCGGGTAGGGATCATAAGAACAATAGGATGATTTCCTGATGAAAAATCCAAAGTGCAAGACCAAAAAGAAACCCCTGTCTCTTGAAATCGGCATGGGAACTGGCTGCCAAGGGAAGTTCGATGAGAAGGAGAAAGAAAGTAAATTCCGGCCTCACGTCATGCGAATTGATGAATAAAAAATTTTTGAGTTCAGTGTTTAAACCAATGTTAAATTCACACTTTGGACCTGAGAGAATGTGGAAAATATGAGTTTATTGTGAATTTGTACAAGTCCAGCCACCAAATGAATTTGAGATCTGTTCCAGAGGCAGCGCTTCGTGCCGATGAGGCATATGCGAGAATAGGACGCAAGATAGAGGTGTAAATTTTCTTTTTCGTCGCAAGGTCTAATGTTGGTGAAAATTCATTATATATGTGGTTTAAAGATGGTACATTTATAATGTTAAGCTCCCTAGATGCTGGTGAAAACAGACATAACCAACAAATGAGAGGATCTCCGCACTCACGTGATACACAATCATACACTCGCAAGTGATCGTGAGCCTACTTCTTTGGCGTACCCCCCTTTGGAAACTGCTGTTATACTAGGATTGGATTATTCAGTTATGGCAAAGCACACGAGGGCTACCTGCCTAAAGGGAGGGATGCCTTTCGTGGAGGACTTTCTAAGGGAAACTGGCTCGTATACACGTTACACATGGGGAAAACCACGAAAACGCCCATGCAGCCAGCCCGTTCGCGGGATTCGAACCTCAGACCGAACTACCAGTGTTCAGCGTCTTTACCGCTCGGCCGCTGGTGGGCTGCTGTTATACTAGGAGACCGGAAGATGTGATTAAAGACCGGAAATCTCGCCGTAGAAAACAGGAAATTTGACAGTTATGTGCTACTTAAATATATTTCGTCAAATTACATCGGCAAAAAATGTTGGTACATTCAAATTTTTAATTGCTTGAAAGCGAGTATTAAAAATCATCTTTAAATTTTTTAGGTAGCTTTTCAGGTAGTATTGCTCTCTTCATATTTTTTTTTTTTTTTTTTTTAATTCTGTTTTGTATTCCTGCGTTTTACTTCTTTATACTGCACTTTTTCCATAAAACATTTACGTTACATATTTAAAAAATATTATTGACTTTTAAATCTTATTATACAATTTTAGTAAATTTTTAATTGTTTTATATGATTTCTTCCTTACTACGTGTTGCAGCTTTATATCAATACATAATTAGTTATCACTTTTATTAATAATCCTTTTGCAATTAATGGGATTTTGATTATGCCAATCAATTGCCGGTGCAAATTTGGATATGGATACCTTAATCATCTCTGACCCTCTTTAAAATTTCGTATCATTCCCTTTTAAATTTCGCATTCCCTTTTAAAATTTGTATGCCTTTTTAAACTTCGCATTAAAAACAACCGAAATCCTTTAAGGAAATTAAAAGAATATTAGATACAAAACAACAACAAAGACACACTATACGGAATGATAAATGTGACGTGAATTATCGGTAATGAATTCATATGACATACATTTATTACCCGAAAGGGAAAGTACCACACAATGAAAACGTGATTAGATACAGACCAAATTTTGGAAATTTTGTGCTAAACAAATGATTTTCAAAAATGTTCAGTGATAAGCCAATTAGATATACAGGTACAAGTAGAAGTGGACGGGATACCAGAATTTCCCCACTGGTCGTACAAGTATTGCCCCACCACACTAACTGCGCAACTGTGCCCCAATAGTATTCACGAAGAACACCCTTGGGGACGGCTGAGCATTAAGAGGATGATGCGGTGCTATTGGCAATACATTCTTGAACTAATAAGTGTCAAAATTATGTCTTCCTCACGGCTGGTAAGTTCTTTCACAGCGGAAAAAATCGATCGGAAAAAATACGTTTTTGCTGCTAAAGTGGTAGAAATTTAAGAAACTAATTTTTGAATTTATTTATATTACTTTATGTTATTCACATATAACACTAGTGTGTTACAAATTTAAATAATTTCATTTTCTATATAATTTAACTAACCTCATTTGTATGTTTACTATCACCTTTCTTTGGTTCTTTATATATTTTTAGGGGGGAGGGTTTTGTATAAATTTTTGTATACTTGCGGTGAGACTTCCTTATAATTTAGACGGATTTTAAATTTAGCTTTAATTTCATATTAATAACAGACATAGTAAAATAGAAAAATTGTTTGGAAAGAATAAAAAATAAAATTATATTATAAAATTGAATCTACATGATTGTAAAAACAAACAATTGAAAGGATATATTCAAAAGAGAAGAAAATTTGCTGTAACCCTGTTGCAATTTCATATCAACTACGTTATACAGCTCAATGTAAAATTTTATAAATTACAATCCCTTCTACCATACAAGATTTGATGTATTGCAAATGGCATCAACATAAAGTAAGATATTGAAAATGGTGCATTCTTAGCAGAGTTAGAAACTTCCTTCCGTGGTGTAAAAAACTGGCCACAAAAAAGTGACCTTTCTTTTACTTTTTTTCATATTAATATTGTTATATTTATATTCTAGTTATATTTATATTCTAGTCACATATAATAATTTTAATTTAAACATTTTCATTCCTTTAAAATTTTGGGGAAAATGATTTTATTATTTCCCATTTTGACGCAAATGTCATAAAACTTTTACTTTCAAATTATTTGTAAACAAAGTCCCTTTCAATTCCTCGCAGATGCTTAAATGTTAATTTCTTCCACTGTCCCAGAAGGAAACCAACCGAGGTCCTCTGGTATGTAAATATGTCCTTTGAAGTTTAACGTGGCTTGAGAACGTAATTACTTACAGGAAAATCAAGAGAATTTATTTAGCTATTTAATATTTACCCTCCTTCACCAACATCTTCCTCCATAGTGGCAGCAAGCATGGCCCTCATGCCTGTTTCAGCCAACCTCCGGACACATGCACGAATTTCTTTCGTTGACTCGCCTCCTACGAACTGGTTGTATAAAGTTGGCTTTAAAAAAATTCGAAGTCCTCGAACTCCAGAAGCACGTTGTACCCTCTTCATCATCTGCAATAGGTGTCAAAGGAACGAAATAGATGTAATACCAAATTTTAGTCATGCTGATAATTCTTTAACTGATCATCAAATATCATATACAAAAGAAAAAAGATGAAATAAAGAAAATTTTATGCATAATGTTAACAAGCAAAAACTCTTCCGTAAATTAGTCTATAAGTATTATTTATCTATTTTATAAAATTCCACGTATATTGTCGCTGCGGCATATACTCTTCTTACTATGGCTGTATGTTTAGGGTTTTTGTAATCTTGGGGCAAACTTGGATAACTTTAAATTCCCATCCCACCCATCCCATCGAATTAAATAAATGGAACATATCAAAGAAAAGGATTGGCAGGGCTCTAATATTTGCTGACAGCAATTTGAAAAGTGAAACTCCGTTTTGTAGTGGAGGACGAAAAATTCCAAAACGAAATTAATAGCCCTTCTGGGCTATTAATTTCGTTTTGTACTGCCTCGTTGTAACAAAAGTTGTTGCTTAGAGTGTCAGAAGCTGAACCCGAGTGATATTTGGACTTAGACATAAATGCGTTTAACACATAAGATTGGGAAAAAACTGTATTTATTACTTTCATATTTTCTATGGCGTCCCGGACAACCGTATTGCCGGTACCTTAGGCCGGCAATCATAGTAATAAAATAATAGCATAATATAAATATTCACATAATAGAACAGCTAAAGTATTAGCATAATCTCTCTGCATATTTTGTAGAGTAGCTTATGTTTATTAACCAGTTATTATGATTTCAATATGTACTATTTATTTATACAAATACCAGACATTTGGTCACTAAGCCATTAGTCTTGATCTTGCTTCCCAATACTTAACAATAGAATGAAAAGATAATAGTGCATTGCATTTGTCATTATGCTTCTTATCCATGGGCTGTCCATAGTTACAAAGAAGAAGTCGTTAAGTCGAATTAAAAAAAAAAAAAAAAAAAAAAAAAAAAAAAAAAAAAAAAACATTCAGACAATCTTGCCCAATCAAAAGACGAAATAACGCCACGTCTACAAGACGAGGAAAATCTGGAATAGCTGGCTTTGAGCTGGGGAGACACTCCCAGGTCTTAGCTTCATTTGATAAGTAGGAGGCAAACCTCTTCTTAAATTCTAATTTAATTAGGAGTTTTGTGGAGTTAAAAGTCATATAGTTATTAGTGATTTGTATAATAGTCGTTCCTTTCTTTGCCAGGAAATCGGCTCTTTCATTTCTTTCGATACGACAATGACCAGCAATCCACTGCAAGACAGCCAGAGTGTTGAAAATCTTCCTACATTCGTAAATTCTTTCGGAAGTGCAAAATTTATTGTTGGAGACAGCCTGCAAAGCGGCTTTGCTATCGGACAAAATAACAGCCCAAGGGAAATTACTCTTCCGAGCGCTTAATTGATTCAAAGCAATAAATATAGCCCCAACTTCACAATCAAAATTGGTAGTATCTCTTCCCACTGCTTTATAGAATGCAAAATGGTTACAATATATTCCTGCACCAGCTCCAGTACCTCGCTCAATCATGAACATATCGGTGTAAACATGGGTTCAGAGAAAGCAATGGCTCTGATCTGGGTAGTGGGCATCTCTTATCAATTTTTTCATCAAGTCCAACATAAACACAAAAGTCACCGTTTTCAAGAGGGCACAAGGGTAAAGTCATTACATTCATTTCTCAAACAAGGTCTAGGTCTATTTTGCACTTTGGCAACTGAGAATGATGGTTCGGTAAAATCATTGAAACTAGTCTTGTAAAAATTTGTAAATATAACGCTGATTTTTGTTGTTTAACTTCCAAATTAATAAAGGTTTAGGTCTTTTGCTAATTGATAACCAATTTTATTGAAACCCACTTGTGTCTTTATATTTCCTTTATTGGTAAAATTGTAATTCTTCCAATATTTATTATTTGGCAGCCTGCAAAGATTTTGAAAGAAAATTGCAGCACTTTACTACAACTTTCCAATTCAATCTTTACCCTAACTTTTTCTTTCCGTATTCCTTACCAGAATGCAAATTACTTGTGAGCATTTAAACTGAGGTTTTCGGTTTTAACAGAGAGTGTTTCTGGCATTGCGTGCGTGCTACGTGGTTTGTTCCTGCCAGCTCTAATAGTTTTAGTTAATTATTCGGTTGTGCAGTCTTTCGCTTACTTTAAATCTGAAACACCGTTAAAGTATTTGTGCCAGCTTCTAGTATAATATTTAATTGTGTAGTCCTTGACTACTGTTCAACGTTTAATTTAAATTTGATTGTTCAGTTTATTTGCATCACCACGAGTTCTGGTTATTGTAGCACAAGAGCTTGTCCTTATGTTCCTAGTTCTGTTTAAATAAAAAAGTTATTATAACCTTCTTAAGACCTTTGTGTTTTACCTTGGACATAACAATATCTCGCTTCACGTCTGTTAAGGTTATAAGACTAAAATAGCATTGCCATATCATGCCCTATAAATTAATAATTATAACCCTATAAATTTGACATTTTTTAAAGAAAATAATGTACTTGCAAGATTCCATGATAATTAGTTCAAAGGGGCAATTTGCCCAGAAGGACTATTGATTTCCTTTTGGCCTTTTGCGTCGATTCACGATAAGCATTGTTTCACTTTTCAAATTGTTGCCACCAAATATTATCGCCCTGTATTATATTTAAAGAAATTAAATAATGAAGAATCTGTATGAATGTATGTATGTTTCTTGCACTATGATAAAACAATGGTACCTAGAGACATAAAAATGTGAATAACGTAATCTTCCATATAATATGGGCATGTGGAAGCCCTAATTTTAATTTAAAATTTGTTTTGTTATCGATTTCAAATTTTGTAACACTTCAGCGAATTTTTGATTAACAAACTAAACGATTTCAAAGCCAGCAAGGGCAACACTCTACGGGGGAAAAAACAAACAAACATTTGTAACTCCAGCGCGAGAGACTCTGTACTGGAAATTCTATAGATATGCTCATTTTAAAATTATTTTGCGATATTGCTCTTGAACTGAATTTTATGGTTTAAGTGCGAAGAGCATGATATTTAATAAATATAGGTAACGCACAGAACGTTAAAAAAATGCCCGTTTGGACGTAATTTAAAATCTGAAACCTTTCAGAATTTTATTTTATTCTTTCTAGTTAAGATTTCATAAAAATGTGATTATTTTGCTTGCGTGCTTGATTCCTCTTAAATGGCTGATTCAAATTTCAAGAAATTTTGAGGAATTGAGTAAATGCTGTTTCCGTATAAAATGACCAGCTATCGTGTTTCTAGCTTTGAACCTTTAGAACTATAATTAAATTTGAAATCATAGGAAAATTTAGACTCGTCATTTTTAATTTTCTCAAATAAATTATAATGATTATATGTTCAGTATTGTTTAAATAGTATATAATTAATTACAATAACAAATTTTAACTTTTTAATCTTCTTTTTTAATATTAAAAAAATAATGTGCATTTTCAGGATTTAAAAGCAATTATAATCTTTTTTTTTTTTTTTTCCAAAACTGTAATTTTTTTTGCTTGCGTGCATGATTTCTCTGAAACCGTTGTTCAGAATTTCAAAACATTTTGACCATTGATAAACATTGTATGGGTATAAAAGGACGATTTATTATGCTTCTCGCATAAAAACTTTAGAAATTAAGTTTAATCATATATTAAAATAATTTTTAACAAAGCTTTCAGATTTTATATTACGCCAAAAGAAGCGTTTTTTTTTTAAATTTTTATTTATTTATTTATTTATTTTTACGTTTTGTGTGTTACCTTTATTTATTAAATATCATGTTCTTCGCACTTAAACCACATACAATTCAATTCAACAGCAATATCACGAAATATTTAAAAACAGCATGTCTTTAGGATTTCCGATAGACAGATTCGGCGCACCTGAGATAAAAATGTTTTTTCCTTACAGTGTTGCCATTTCTCGCTTTGAAATCGTTGAATTTGTTAATCGAAAATTCGTTAGAGGTTTACAGAATATGAAATAGATAATAAAAAAAATTCGAAATTCAAATTCGGGTGTCTAGGTGCTCATGTTCGGGTGGAGGATTACATTATTCAAAATTTGATGGCTTACATTCATACAGATTCTTCATTATTTAATTTCTTTAAATAATGAAGAAATTCTTTCAATTTCTTTAAATAATAAATATTCCTGCATGATACATTTTACAAACATGGATGTTTGTAAAATGTATCATGCAGGGTGATAATATTCGGTCTCAACAATTTAAAAAATGATTCTCCGTTTATAGTGAAACGTCACAAAATGCCGTTTTGAGACTGATAGTCCTTCTGGGATACCGCCCGTTTGGTCTAATAACTGATATTGCGTTCTGAACTTTTAAAACGTTATTTTTAAGACTATATTATTCGATTATTTTTATTACAGATTAGTTTTTCATTAAAAAAATTAGCTAAAAATAACAATTTCTTTATCTATGATGCTGCGTCCAGGGCGTATTATAATTTTAGGTCTATGACGTAGGAATTTAATATCTTAAATTAAATAGACAACAAATTCACAACAAATTCAGTATAAAAAGCACCGAATTATGTACTAATCATAACCCAGTGATTTATAGGATTGCTAAAAATATGGCATTAAATCGTTTAGTTTCCTGATTAAATTTGAAACTTTATATCTTATACTCTTCCGTTTGGCAATACATTGCTTTTAAATCGGTGATTTTGTCATTAAGTTCGCACAAAATATAAAATAAATAGACAAGAAATTCAAGCTTCGAGTTGCACATGTTCAGGTGGAGGACTATATGTACTTTCAAAATTTGGTTACCTACGTTAAATTTGGTTTTCCAGTTACCTACGTTTTTACGCAGTGCGAGGACAAACATACATACAGATTCTTCATTATTATAGGTTTCTATTTAGCTTACGTTTTGTTGCTATGGTAAAAAATGTGTCATCGATTTTCGCACTATTTCCTGATAAGCTATGGAACTCAAATGTTGCACGTTCAATGTAATGAATTCACAATGTAATGGATAACAATACAGTGATTTTTAATTTCCTACTATTAGCTCACACTCTTCCTATATGTTATTCAAATTTTCAATTTTTAATAAAATACTTTTTATTCATCCACTCAAGTTCAAATACATTTTTTTAAACTTGTAGTGGACGGCTCTTGCTGTTAATACAATTTTACATACATTAAATTTCTTAAAATTTTTAATTAAAAATTTTTCTTTGTTGACCTAAGTAGGAATCGACTTTAAAAAAAATATATTACTTGTTTCGTACATATTTCCGTTTAAAAAAACTTAAAAATTTAACTAAACTAAAAAGCTTAGAACTATAAAACTTAAAATTTTGCGGTTTACGTCATCGGATACGGCGGAAAAAAATCTTTTAAATGAAATTGATAGCAATTTTTTTATGCAATTTCTGATTTTTTTTCGGTGAATTTCCGAAAACCTTTACATTTTTTTCGAACATTCATATAATAGAATTGTTGGAAGTAAAGGAATAGTTATTCGTTGTCGAAAAATTATTTTAAAATGGAATAGTTTAATTAAGAACGTGTGATTTAGATTAAAAAGAAGATAATTGAAAAAAAAAAATAAGAAAGTGTTTTCATTAAAAAAAAAAGTTTTATTTAAAACTCGTAAAATAATTAATGAACTAAAAGAAGAAAAGTAATGTATCGTATAGTTTTATTGGAAAAATAGATTAAATAATCCTCTTTACAAAATTTATCTACAGCACGAGCATGGGTGTCTAAGTAACAAAACTGAATAATCGAATTTCATTGTCAAACGTATGAGCCATTATCTTCATAAATTTATCAACGGTGGGCCGCGCTTCTATTATTCGTGATGTAAAATTGTAAATAAATTTTGTAAAGAGAATCATTTAGTTTTATGGACCATTAAACTAACAAATTATTTTTATCTAACAAATCTTAACAAATTATTTTTATCCGTTTAATTCCTTAATTATTTTACGAGTTTTAAATAAAAGCTTATTTTATCAATTCTTCCTTTTCTTTAATAATAGAAATAATAACTGATGTAGCTAAGAAATGTATATAAAATTCAGATTTCTGATACACTTCCGTATCATTATATCGTACCGGTTAGAATATCATGCCTTACTTTGGAAATGATGGCATGAACACCGACATATTAATTCTTAAAATTATATGAAAGAAATTCAGGTATATTTACTTACCGAAAGGCTGTTGTCTACCAAGTAATTCACCGAACACATTCTCAATATTGTCAGTGCTCGTATGATTTCCCATGTTGTTTTGTACTGGTAAGCGTCCCGGTAGTTTTTAAAATTAAACTCTTTCAAACCGGAATCACATTTCGAGGTATCATCACTAAGATCCACAGAATCCAAGCGGGGATATATCGTCGAGGGATTCACCGAATTTTGGGGTCGCGCCATACTCATCTGACGGCACGTCACGGCCTCACTGACGTTTCGGCATCTGAATAAACATCTCAAGACAAGAAATCTCATCTTTACCTTAAGCACGCTGAAGGTTGAAAAACTCGTTATGTGTTTTACTTCCTTGTTAGAAATTGATAGTATGTAATGGTCACGAAAGAGGAAGAAACACTGTGAATTCTTTTCAGTTACAGCTTGCCAAAAGAGTGCTGAAAAAGCAATTAAATTATCTCATCAACTAACGTTTTAAAAAATATTAGTTACAAGGAAGAAGTAAGATTTCCAAACTTTTACGAATCCAATTATTTTCTCCCGGAACGAATAATCTTAACAATTCAAATGAAGGGAGAGGACTGAAAAGCTACAAAGTGTTTCATTTATCTGAATTCATGTCCATGTTTATCTCAATTTCCCTTTATTGTCAGAAGCAAGTCTAGATGGCGCTTCGAGAGTTGAAAGTTGATACAACAAGAAAAAAAAATCGAGCTCGATAGCATATATTTTTCTCAAGACAAGCCGACGGAAATAGGTATTGTAAACAAAATACAATTAAAAAAAGTTTTTAATTAAAAATTTATATGAAAATTAACGCACTAAAAGGAGAAAAATAATTTATCATATAATTTAATGCAAATAATAGAATAAATATTTTTACAGAAGTTATATATTTGTAGAATTTATCTACAATTTTATATAGCGAAAAAACGTGGGATGCCCATGATAACTTAATTAAAGCGCGGGACAGTTTACGTTGCTCAGGAATGAAATTATGACAAACTATTTAAATTATGAACCAAAAGTAACTAGTTCGATCTGTAGAATCAAAATAATGGCTTGTGCATTTAACAATGCAGTTATATTAATAGAAACTTTTATATACATTTGACAATGGAATTAGATTAATAGACTTCGTTACTTAAGCGTTCCTCACTTTTAATACCCAGGATCTAGAAGATGTTGATTTTACCCATGTTTTCGAAAGCTATTCCGCGGAGAGCATGGTAAATATACGCAGGTACATTCAAGAATTTTCAGCCTGATATACTTAAAAGAAATAGAAAAAATTTAGTAGTCTATTTTTCAATATGGTTTCCCTGTGCCTCGATGTAGTTTTCACGTCGTCGTCTGTCCCTGAAGGTTTGCTCTCAAAATGTTTCATTTCTGTTCTTTTCAAGCCATCATCGTCATTAAATCTCTTTCTACGATGGTCAGATTTCAGTTTAGGGAGCAGATATTAATCACTTGAAGCTAAATATGTGTTGTAAGGGGGGGAGGTGTCACCCAGACGGTATAGTGGTTAGGGGAGCCTACTACGGTACTGGAGGGCCCGGGTTCGAATCCCGGACAAGACATGGATGTTTGTAAAATGTATCATGTAGGTGCGGCATGGAGGCACTCTAAATATGCGGCGAGCCGAAAGTCCCCTCGTGTGGATTGGTGGGAGTGGAGACGAGTGGGAGACTGCGGACCCTCCTCCTCTCCCCCGGGTGCTCTCCCTAAAAATTGGGGGTGGAAAATAGAAGTCCAACCTCTCTTCGGAGTAGGCTCTAGCAACCTTTGTTCCATGTAATATGGACATGACAACAACAACAAGAGGGAAGGTCAAGCTCCTAAAATCCATATTGTTGTTTTTGAACAGCGATTTGAACACTTTGCTAGTTTTCAGTTACTGAAAGAAATCGGGATACTGTTTTTTCAAAGACCTTGCTTATGTGAAGTGTTCATACAGAATGCTCAAGACAGTTAGTTGTTTTAGAAAGATCCAGTCTTGCTGCTGTCATCTTGTCATTTAATCTCCTGTCACTCAGTATTTTCTTTCAGACACGAGTGATATTTTCTGATATCAACGCTATCAAAAATAGACCTTGAAAATCATCTCTTACGTATTCTCGATGCATGCGAAATTTTTTTGTAAAGATTGGGCCTGTAATTAAGTGTAACTTGGGACAAATCCTTCAATAGACGTGTAAACCAATTACCGCTATATCTAAAATGAAACAGAACTTAAGAAGAATTTAAAAGATCCTTTTATTCAGAACTCAAAATAACTTAACAGAAGGCACTTCTTGTGCTTTCAAACCAGCCAGCATTTATGGAGTAACTCAAAAGTAATGAATTTACATTAAAACTACGTTAAATCCTATGTTAACCAAAGGCTACACAGAAATGAATAACACGCTAGTTGGCTCAAACCTACACTACACTATTGACAAGCACTATTGGCAAGAATAAAACAACGCCGCAGACAGACTGCTATCGTGAAATTCCATTCAGTAACGTAGCATTCAGCAGGCAGAACACGCTCTGATTAAACAATCTAAAACCTTCCTTTAAATACTAGTCCGAGGATGTCCTCAGGGGTCTTGCATGAGTGCAGATCTCTGGAATATCAGCTTCAACAACATCATTGCCTATCCATGGCCAGATCACTCAAAAATTGTAGCTTTTGCAGATGATGTAGCTTTTATTACAAGTGGCCGTACCAGAGACATTTTACAGAATAATTGCAACGAAACACTCCAGTTATTTAACCAACTTTGCAAAATTCAAAAACTACAAATTTCACATAGTAAGTCCCAAGTCTTAGTGATCCATAAACCAGGCCAAAATATAACTAAAGCTTTAGCTCTAAAAATTGACAATCAAAAGATCAAATCTGTGAACACAATTAAGTACCTCGGTTTACAATCGACAAAAAATTCTCCTGGATTCCTCATCTACAAAATATTAAACTTCGTACAACATCAATAGCTAACTGCCTACGACGTATGCATGGATATAACTGGGACTTGAATCCCCATATAACACGTATTCTTCTAAAAACAGTCATCTCAAAAATGGTAAATTACGGAGCCGGAATTTGGGCACAACCAATGACAGTAAGAAAGATGAAATGTTTAAATTCAATTCAAAGGCCTTTTACTCTTTGCATTACTCGGACGTATCGCACAACTTCAAATATAGCACTTGATACTCTAGCTGGTACTCTTCCGTTATCAATCAGTGCAGAAATGGAATGCACCTATATGAAAGTTCTTCAACTTAACCAAGCCGCAGAATTCAACAACCAAACCTTTTGGCCATCCAACTATGAAAAGAAAACTAACCCCAATCTTATCCATCCAGCGCTTCGCTTCAGCAAAATAATATTCCCCACGTCTGAAAAAAATTCAAGTTCATCTCCAATTGCTTATACTGATGGATCAAAAATTGAAGGAAAAGTTGGTTCCGCAGTCTTTTTTCAAATTACCCCCTCAAATATCATCAAATGGAAAGGCCATCTCCATAATAATAATAGTGTTTTTCAAGCGGAATTGTCAGCTATAAAAGCGGCGATTGAAATAGCCATTCTAAAAAATCTCAACGAATTTAACATAAAATCTGACTCCCAAGCAGCTATTCTAGCTATTAAAAATCCCTTACCTTCCTCTCCATTGATATCCGTAACATAAATTCTCTTCTTGGAAAAATCCCAAACTACAAAATTCAAATTTCATGGATCAAATGTCATAGTGGCCATTTTGGTAATGATCAGGCAGATGAACTAGCCAAAGAAGCAGCTATTAATCAAGATGGTACTGAAATCATCATTCCGTGGCCTCGCTCAAATTTCAAGTACCAACTAAAACAACTTGCTTCAAAATCTTGGCAAGATTTGTGGAACAATGCTTCACAGGGAAGACGTACATGTAACTTGATGCCCAATGTAAGCTTAGCATCTCTGAACTCGAATCCTTCCCTAAATTACTTTATAACAGGACATGGACGCTTCCCCACATATTTTTACGCAAGAAATTTGGCAAATTCTGACATCTGCATATGTGGGGAACAGGGAACTCCTGATCACTACGTTTTCTCATGCCCCTTAACTGAGGAAATTCACATAAAATCCCCAAGAATAGACCTCCTGGCATTCCAAAGATTTTTAATTAAAGATAAACATCAATATCCAAAGCTTCAGAAAATTATGCAACGACTCTCTTCCTACGGCCTAGATCTCTGTCAAGTGTAAGTCCACATACAGTTTAAACTTAGTGAACTTTTACATGCTGCGATTATGGACAAAATGGATCCGCTCGTGAACTTTATAAACTGCATTAAACCAATATATCTGAAATAACCCATGGACACCTACCTACCTCTTTAGCATTAACAATTCATTTAACATTGTGTTGCCAGTACTAATTATAATTATCTCATTATGTTTATTTGTTTATTAATTATGTTTATCTCCTATTTTTGTTGCACCAAATCAGATGTTCAATTTATCTTGTGAATCTCAAATTGTATTCCTACTATTTTGTAATCTACTTATGCCCTACACCATTATTTTTAATAAATACTGGATGTGGGGCGTACTGTGAAATTGCACGATGTACCATAATAGGCAAACTTTAGACCTTTTGAAAAGTTTCAGTCTATGCAAATTCTTATAAAACTTGCAATTACCTCCCCCCCTTTTTTTTTCTCTCAAAGAGTTAGTATGGGAAGGCATTACCAGTTGACCTATGGTACATCGCTGGTGTCCCCCGTACTTTTACCTTTACCTTTACCTTCCTTTAAATACTATCTATTTCTACATCATTTGAATACGCGCGAGCAAAAAATTAGCATTCTGGCAGGAAAACGGAAAGGGAGAATGACAGATTTATATTTAATATAAGATAACTAGATATTTAATATAAGATAACTGGTCAGCTAAAAATAAATAAATCCTTACAGTATTATCCATTCTACCCCTGTAGAATAGGAAGGAGACGAATCTCTGTTTGTCCACAAGATCCAAACATTGTTTCATTTCTTCAGGTTGTAAGAATCTTAAGTTTTACTAACGTTTATTTTATTTTAAATCTTTACTATCACTTCTTATTTTCTACTTCCGGCCAGAATTATAAGCGTTAACGTATTTATGCAAAGTTTGTCTGGCGAACGCCAAGTATTTAAGTTGTGGCCTTTTGCCAAGCGAGAGAGAGGAAGCAGTTAGTCGAAGCAGGCCGCTTACCTTAGAAGTTTTACTCAGTTGCTGGTTGCCTTCCAGGCCAGAGGTTTAATCCTCTTGATAATTTTTAAACGTATTGTAGTGTTCACAGTTCTCTGTACTACATACGGCTTCCTGTTAATATAAGGCCAATCTTCCACGTTTATTATTTTAAAGTTAAATTAGAGTTTAGTTTTATTTTATATTTTTACGTTTAGACCACAAGTAGTGGGTCTTGTATTCCGAAGTACGGTAGTTATTGTAAATAGAGAAAAATAAAGGGTTTTGTATACCCTTCTTGTGTATCCTGTCTACTTCCCACAGTTATTGAACATAGCTTTAGTAAGCTCTCTGTTCCGAGTCA